CGACAGAGGGTTCCCCCTCATGGTGTTCAGCCCCTGTTCTGTCACTGGCATAACCAGTGACTTCAGATCCAAAGCAGCTACTCCTCACCCACCTGGATCCCCAGGCCCCAGACCCTCCCTTGCCTCATGCTGGGTACCCCAGTCCATCACAGTCCTTGTTTCTCTCCACCTGCTGAGGGGCCGGGATGGGGGAGGATTGGGTCTGTTCCCAAAATGGGTGGTACTGAAGCCTGATGCCTGAGGTGGGTGTTCTAGATAGGTTCAGGGAGAACTGGGTGGGTCAACGCATTGGGGGAGCCTGGAGGGTGCCCACCCTGCCTGCTGTGGGGGGGCCAGGCCTGGGGGTGGAGCAGGGAGTGACCGGGACAACCTCCCTTTCCCCAGCTGTCTGTGCAGAAAGTGGTCACGGATGCTTGACCGAAAAGTGCAGTCATGGGCAGTAACAGGGCATCCTGAGCCCAGCGAGGCAGTTGGGACCAGGTGGGAGAGCACAAGTGCGGCCCATCGGCCAGCCGAACCTGTGCTCCAGTCCTTGCTGCTCAGCAGAGCTGCCCTCTCCCAGCCCAAGACATTAAAGAACCTTCTGGTACCAAGGAGAAGGTTGCACACCGGGCAGGGAGTTACTGCTGCAAACAGTTCCAAGGCGCTCGGTATCCCTGTGGCAAACAGGCTGGTTCCAGGCGCAGACAGGCGGGCAGCCCAGGAAACTGGTTAGTGGGAGGGAGAAGGAGCCGGCCTGTCCCTCATTAGAGGCAGGCGCGTGATGGCGTCTGGCCCCGGTCCAACTTGGGTAATTACACTGCCGACCTAGATTCCCCCTTCAGCTTCAATTAGCGCCAGGACGTGTCCTCACTTCCCACCCAAACGGGCCAGGAAGCAGCCACCACATCGCCCAGAGCTGCATGCTCTGCCACCCACGAGGGTGGACGCCTGTGCGGTCAGCCTGCAGACAGGGATGACTAAGGGGGAAGCCTGGGGTTCCCCCGAGTATCCTCGGGGGTGGGTCACGAAAGAGGCCTGCAGAGCCACAGGGAACCAAGGGGTTGTCCTCGAGTGCAGCCCCCTGGCCAGCGGGCCAAGATCAGGGGCCACGAGTGAGTGTGATCCTGGGCATGGTGCCCGTGCTGACCAAGCCCCTCTCCCCAGGGAACACCATCTCCATGCCGACAGCCTCCGGGGCCAAAAAGCGCTTCTGGATCATTGAGGACATGTCTCCGTTCGGCAAGCGGCGCAAGACTGCTTCCTCGCGGAAGATGTTGGACGAGGGCATGATGCTCGAGGGCTTCCGGCGCTTCGACCTATACGAGGACTGCAAGGACGCGGCCTGCCAGTTCTCGCTCAAGGTCACCCACTACCATTGCACGCGCGAGAACTGCGGCTACAAGTTCTGCGGGCGCACGCACATGTACAAGCACGCGCAGCACCACGACCGCGTGGACAACCTGGTGCTGGACGACTTCAAGCGCTTCAAGGCCTCGCTCAGCTGCCACTTCGCCGACTGCCCCTTCTCGGGGAGCAGCACGCACTTCCACTGCCTGCGCTGCCGCTTCCGCTGCACCGACAGCACCAAGGTCACGGCGCACCGCAAGCACCACGGCAAGCAGGACGTGATCAGCGCGGCGGGCTTCTGCCAGTTCAGCTCGAGCGCCGACTGCGGCGTGCCCGACTGCAAGTACAAGCTCAAGTGCTCGCACTTCCACTGCACCTACCCCGGCTGCCGCCATACGGTCGTGGGCATGTCGCAGATGGACTCGCACAAGCGCAAGCACGAGAAGCAGGAGCGCGGCGAGCCGCCCGCCGCCTCCCCCGGCCCCGAGGGCCCCGCGCCCGGCCCCGCCGCCGCCGCCGCCGCCGCCGGCCTGGACGGCGCGCCCCCGCCCGGTGCCGAGCCCGCCGCCGCCGCCCTGCTCTTCCTGCCCGGCCCGGCGCTGGGGCCCAGCGACGACCCCGGCCCGCCCGACGCCCCGGGGCCCCGCGTCGGCCCCGCCGTGCCCGGCCCCGCGGCCGGCGAGTCGTCGCAGGAGGACGACGAGGAGGAGCTGGAGCTGAACGAGGAGGAGGCGGACGAGGACGAGGACGACGACGAGGAGGACGACGAGGACGACGACGAGGAGGACGACGAGGACGACGACGAGGACCTGCGCACCGACTCGGAGGAGTCGCTGCCCGAGGCGCCGGCCGTGGCGGCGGGGCCGGGGGCGCGGAGCCCGGAGCTGGCGGCCCTCGGCGCCCCCGCGCCCCCCGGCCCCGCGCCCGCAGCCGCCTCCCCGTAGCCGCCGGGCAGGTGGTGCGTCGGGGGGCCGGGCGCGCGTGGCGCCCTCGGGATCTTGCCGCTTTATTCTATTGCTATTATTATTATTATTAATTTTGTAAGAAACGGTATTTATCTGTAAAGCTTCCCTTGTCCAGAGCTAGGTGTCGGCCGCGTCCCGGCGTCAGGAGGCGCTCCGGCCCGGGTGGGCCAGTGCGCCCCGCCGGTGCTTCCGGACCCCGAGTCCGTCTCAGGACAGAGGCGGGGGGGCCTCCCTCTGGTGCTTCGGGGCCGCCCCCGCGCCCGCCCTCCCGCGCGGCAGCTCGGCGGCCGGCAGGACAGAAGCTGCCCGGGCGGGACCCGCCTCCGCCGCGGTCCGGGGATCTTCTTCAGGGAAACAGAAGGTGCTCTTGTCCGGGGTGGGACAGGGGCCCCGGAGGGTGAGGCGGGAGCCGATCCCGCCGCCCCCCACCCCCCACCCCACGCCGCGCCGCTGGGATTCCTCATTGCTCAGGGCTGGGACGGGCGCTGGGGGTCACCGTGACCCCCGCCCCGCACCCCCGGAGGCGGGCGGGCACCTGTAGCATCTGCAGGGCCTCCCATTCGTGCAGCTAAGACCCTCCCTCCTGGCCCCGGGGGAGGGCGGGGCAGGAGGCGGCCGGCGGGTGACCCACAGGGACCGCGGAGGGAACCTCCTGGAACTGGCCGAGCTGACGGCTCCGGGGCACTCGGCCCCCAGTGCGGGGGCCTGGCCGGGTGTCCGCCCCAAGGGCTGGGGCCTGGGAAGGGGGCGCCTCGGCCTACCCGCTGCCTGCCAGCCGGTGCTGGGGTGTTGTGCCCTCAGGGGGTCTCCGCCACCCAGGTGGTAAAAACAGGAAGGATGCGACAGTTTGGGGCTTTAATAGTCAACATGGAAAAAAATTCGAGGAAGTTGTACAGTATTTTTCCTGTAAAGGTTTATTATTCTACACAGAACAAAAGAAAAAAAGCAGGCGGGCGCCCAGAGCACAGACCGCCTCCGGACCAGCCCTGAGGTTGGAGACCCGAGTGCAATTGCTCACGTGGGGTTTTGTTTAGCGTTTAGTTAGAGGCCTTAACCAGGTTGAGGCTGTCTGTCTTTACACTAGCACTGATGGGAGCTGCGTGATTCCAACTTTTAACTTGAATTTTGTAGAGACAAGAAAAAAGGACTATTATTGTTGATACAAGTTTGTAGTTAATTTAACATTTGAGTTTTTCTCTATTGGTTATGCGTGTGGCTTTATAGGGCTTTTTTTTTTTTCCAGTTTGTTTTATTATTTTGTTTGGGATACTTCTTTGCTGGTTCAACCCACCCAGATTTGGTTCCCTTTGCAAAATACACCCCTGTCCCCCATCACCTCCCTTTTCAACGATGAGGTCACCTACCCCAGAGCCGGCCCCCACCTGCCTGGCTCACACCCAGCCGATGGCTCTGATGGCGACAGGGACCGAGGGCACACTGCCCAAGGCCTCTCCTGTTCTCCTTCTCTCCAGGTCAGGCCACCTGCCCCATCTTAGTTGGACCCTGTGACATGCCACAGGGAGAGCTCTAGGTCCAGCCTGGGGGAGGGGCTGTCACCCATAGCCTCCTACCCCTGGGTCTCCAGGGGAAGCCTGACCCGGGTGTTGGAGGGGGACAGGGCAGTTGTTTCTTTTTTTTTCTTTTCTTCCCATTTTTTTTTTTGTCCTCTTGGCTGCCCACAGCCAGAAAGCCAGGACCATCTGAACTGGAGAGAGAGCAGGAGGGAGGAGTGGTGAGACAGATGTACCTGATTCAACAGGAAACAAGTGGTTTTCTAGAACAGCCCCTACCAGAGCCTCCTGAATTTTGTGGGCACCATGTGCTGCTGCTGAGCATTCGCCCAGACTTTGTGCCCGACCACAGAACCGTGGAGTCTGTGGAAGGAGTTTTGTAAAGGAAAAAAAAAATTTTTTTTTCAATGTAGCAAAATCAAAAAAAAAAAAAGAAAAAAAAAGAAGATGCCGACAGTGCGAAGTCTAGCCTTTTGTAACCTTCATATTGCACACTAGGACTATAAGCCATTGCTAGCTCATTTTGAATTTTAATGTGTAATTTTTGTTTTATTTTCTTTCTGTGGGGAAAACAATGCTTGATCCACCAATGCTCTTTTTAATGTTTTATAACTATGTATGTGTATATATATAAATATAAAATAATATGTATGCACATATGTGTGTGTATATATCTATATGTATATACATATATAGATATATAGAGATATATAGAGAGGTTTTGAGACAAAAATGCAGAACGTGAAAACCGAACTGAACAGCGTGTGCTCTGATTACTTGAATCTGGTCTCCTCGGCACCTGGTTATTAAGAACTGAATATTTTTCCACTTGAATTTAGTGCTATTAGAAATTTAATATATGTGTTTTATTTATTTGATTTTTTTTTTTTTGCATGACTGATGCAAGGTTTGACATTTTCACTCAATAAAAACTGGAAAAAAAAAATCTATCATCTTTTATTTTTGAAATCAGCCCCAAGCGGCTGGCAGCGACCTAGGTGTCCAGGGCAGCACAGCCTCCATGGAGGCCTGGGCATCCTGTGCCAAGGCAGGGAGGGGAGGAGGGTGTCGGTCACCCTTCAGCTCTGGGAGGGAAGGGGGCAGCCCAGTTTCACCTCTGGGATGGGGCCAAGTGCTCCTGGGTGACTGGGAACAGACAGTGGGGGGCTTGGGCCCGGCCCTGCCTGAAGGCCCCATGGAGGCTCAGAAGCTACCTGGCCTAGACGCCTCGGGCCTCCAGCACGGTGCCAGGGGCTCCCGGGCCCCCACCCTATCCAGCCCTCTCCCCAAGCAGCCAGGGCTACTGGGCAGGCGCTTGGCAGGGTCCTCCCTCTGCCTCCTCCCTCGGCTCCTTCCTCCTTCCTGCAGGGACCTGCCCGGGCTGGGAACAGTGCGTACCCGGATCCGATCCGGATGCTGGCTCGGCTCCTGCCAGGAGCACGCGGGGGCAGAGCTGGAGGGGGCCGATGCCTGGGTCTGTAGCCACCAGCCCCAGGCCCGAGTTGCCAGCTCCGGTAGCACCATAGCTGGGGCTCCCTCAGAAGCACTGGTGGTGAAAGCACTCCAGTCAGGCCCCGCCCAGAGCAGGCCTCCCGCCTCCTGAGCCCTGACACTTGTAGGTGGTGGCCTGTGTCTCAGTAAACCTCCTCCTCTGCACCATCCTGCCAGCCTTGCCCTGAGTTCACCTCCTTCCAGGTGGCCAGGCGTTCAGGGCCTAGGGGAGGAGATGTGACATGTGCTGGGCCTCCGGGCTCCTCTGCCTTCAAAGATGGAGCATCTCACTTGATGTCACATCCTGGCAAGGAGGTCACCCCTTTCCTGGGGAGGGAGGGAGGGGCTGGAAGGTGACACCTCAGCCAGGTGTCACCTCCTCACCCAGGACCGCAAGGGGGCGCGGGCGAGGGGGCTGCACCGCTCCCAGGGCCCCACTCAACATGGTCACTTTTCCACTGTGAAAGCCTCTCTCTAACCCAGCCCCAGCACAGAGGGCCCTTCCCTTTCTTCTTTCCTCCTGGAATGCAGCCCACAGGCTATTTACATAAATATGTTTGTAACAGACACAAAAATATATACTTTTTTCTGTCTTATTAAAATGTTCAAGTTAGAACTCGCCTATTGTTTGTGGATATCTTGATTCTGTTAAATAAAACAGTGACTAATTTATGGGATAAAACACAAGTTCAACAAATTAAAACTATTACTGGAGCTTCGCAGGCCCTGGTGGGCCGAGCAGTCTTCCCACGGGGCCTGAGGGGAGGCAGGGAGCCAGGCTCGGACCTCAGCCCTCAGCCGGGTGGGTGGGTGCTATGACCACAGGGCTCCATCTGGGCCCTGCTGCGGGGGCAGGGCCTACAGAGGCTCCAACTCCAGGTGGAGGATTGGGGGGGAAGGACAGGGACTTGGGATAGACTCCCCAAAACTGCCCCCTCTGCAGCTGTCTCCAGGTCTCCTGGGGCCGGATGGACCTTGGGAGACCCACACGTGGGTAAAGAGGAGGCTCAGCCTACCTGAGGGCAGGGCAAGCTTTTAAGCTCCACTCAGGACAAGACAGGGCCCAGGGAAGGGTGAGATGGGCCTCAGGGCACCCCTCAGAAGACTCGGAGACAGGGGCCTGGGACACAGGAGGAAGCTGCACCCAGGTCAGCCCACAGCCCTGAGCCCCAGGCACCGCCCCCTGAGGCCGGGTGACCCGCCCCAAGGAGGGAGGGGCCTGCAGGGGGGCATAGCCCCGCCCCAGGGTTCAGGGGCCTGGGTCCCACAGGACTCTGTGTGGCTTGTTGGACTCAGTAGGAATTGCAGTAAAACATTTTCATTCTGAGGTTTAATTAGCTGTGGTGGTGTGATGCTCCTACACCCAAACTGGGGCAAATTCAAGAGTTTTGTAACCTCTTGGAAAGAGCCAGAACCAGCTGCACAGGCTCGTGGCCTGCCCACCTCCCACGACCTGGCCCTGCTTGGGTGCTACCAGTGGCTGAGTCACCCATGGGAGTCGGGCCTCGGCATTCCTGGGCAACTGGGCCTCAGCCCACCTGGACCCTGAGCCAAGACAGCCTGTTGTCCCGTTTGCCTTCATGAGAGGTGGCTTTGGCCCCTCGGGGAGCCTTGGTCCAGGGCCAGGGCACAGGGGTAGTGAAGTGCTGTTGCCCCCAGGAAGCAGGTCCCCTCGGACCAGCTGGCGTCCTGGGGAATGAACAGGGGCCGGGCCTGTGCCACCCTCACTGGAGGAGCCGCCCCACCTTAGGGGGTGGACGGGACGTGCCTCCCAGGGGCACACCTCCCAGAGGCACAGCCAGCACAGGCCCGGACCCAGCGGCTTCTCCTCCTGTGAGCCCCACACCCACGCTACTTGGGAGAGACATCGGGGCCTCAGAAAGTCCAAGGCCTTTTCCCCACAGAAGACCCCCAGCCTGGCTGCCGCACACTGGGTCTACAGGGCACCCTGGAAACAGCCTCCCGGACCTACTGGGCTAGGATGGGAGGGCTGGACACCTGAGTGTCCAAGATGAGTTTTAAACATGGCCTCATCATTATGAAGAAGGTCCTCCCAGACGTGTCAGGCCAGGGAAGGCTTCAGGCAGCCTCCTTATGAAATGATAAAATCTCACCTCCTTGTAGGACAGCACGAGCTTTAAAGTGCTTGACGAAAGTAAACTGGTAAGGTTTGTTCACCACTCAGGGAAAAGCACGACACGGTTGGAGATTTAAACTCCACTTCTAAATTAGAGCAGAATTGGGTGGAGAGGGAGGTGGGAGGGGGGACCGGGATGGGGAATACATGTAAAAAAAAAAAAAAAAGATACACTATGGTTGTGATTAAAAATAAATAAATAAATAAATAAATAAAAATAAATAAATAAATAAATTAGAGCAGAACAGAGGGAGGGCCTGGCTTGGGTAGGGGCTGGGCCAGCTCTCGGGGGAGAAGGTGGTGGTCACACACCATCATCTCAGGCACCCTGGAGATGTCTGACCTTAGCAGGGGGTTACTGATCCCGGGATGGGCCACACCTGTGCAGGATGAAGAAGCAGGGGCCAGAGAGGGGTCCAGGGCAGGGAGGGGTCAGTCAGGACTGGGTCTACGCCCATGTGAGCGCTTCACCTGAGGCTGGAGCCACCGCCACCTTCAGGGTCTCCCTGGCGCCTTCCTGCCTGCTATCTGGAGATGCTGACCCTCTTCTCTGGGTGCCTTGGCAGAAACAATTCTAAACAAACAGGTGAAGAAACACTAAGGATTAAGTACACTCCTGAGGATCAGGTGTCAGGCCAGTCCCGTCTGCTGCCCTCCACCCTCTGTGGGCAGAACTGGGGTCTTGGTCTGCAGCAGGGGCGGGGCGAGGCAGGGTGGGGCAGGGCTGGGTCTGAGGCAGGGCTCACCAGAGGAGAGGCAGGTTCTAGGCCGAAGCCCGAGAAGCAGCAGCACCTAAGTCCTGGCTGGGTCCCGGGGGAGGCGCCTTCCAGAGAAGCCCTCTCCTCCCAACTGATGTGTACCCCATGGACACACACGCTTTACTTTCAGGGAGACAAGCAAGTCACACAACACTGAAAAGAAACTTCCCGTTTTTATTAAAAAAGAGAAAGAGAGACAGACTACAACCACACACCTGTGAAACCAAGCGGAGAGACCCAAGAGGGGTTTCTGTCCCCTCCAGTCCTTCCATATGGGCTGGATTGTTTGAACATCTGACATGAACCTCCACAGTATGAAAAAAAAAAACATTTTACAAGCTCGGCATCCCTCTCCCCTCACTCAGAATGCTTCCCTTCCCCAGCAGGGTGTCCCAGGACACTGACAGGTCAGCCCTCACGGAAGGAAGCCGACTAGCCAGGGAGGACAGGGCAGAAGCGGCTGCCTCGCCTGTTCTCGGGGCATCACAAGGAGCAGGGGAGCGGGGGCTGCCCAAGGGAGGACCCTGCCCAAGGCAGAGCCCACGAACACCCAGGGCAGCCGGTGAGACCTTGGGGGCCAGAGGGCCATCCTGCAGCCTCTGAGCACCAGGGTGAGTTCTCTCTTAAAAGACACTTTATGAAAATACTTTGTAATTGAGTTTAATAATCTTCTCCCTTCCAGAAAGGGCCTGACAGGCGCTGCCTGCTGCTCACTTCTGCCCCATTCCAAATATTTTTACCTTATTTGGATGAAATGCATTATTTTTCTAATGAAAGGCTTTTTTTTTCAAAGGGCTGTTTTCCCTCCGTCCAGCAGCTGCCTTTATTAGGCAGCACTCACGCCGTTTTGGGGAGGGGTTTTTTTTCCTCCCTGAAATCACGCCAGATTCTCTGTCCTCAAAAGCTGAAATCGTCACTCGAGACCCACAGGGCAAAGGTCCCCCAGGCCCAGGTTTCCGTCCCTCTCTCCCATAGTGAGTTTAGGGACCCGAGAGACCCCTGACCCCCCACGTTGAGGAAGGCGTGCTCCGCGATGCCCCGCGGTCCCCATGCCAGCAGCTCTGGCTGCATCTCTGTCCCAGGCTATCTGTCCTCTGACCCCCTGTCTGGTCCCATTGCAGGAGAGACCTCTGCAAAGTGAGAGGCCATGAGAAATGTCACCAAGCAGAGGGGTAGCCCTCGAGATGGCTCACAGAGGACCCAGGCTTCCATTCCCCGAGGAGGTCTGGGGGAACCCCGTCTCTAGCCCCCGAGGCCAAGGGGTGCTTCTGACCCAGCGGGCAGCCCCCTCTCTGCTTGTCATCTCAGGTCTGCCTGCATGACTCCCAAAAACTGGATCCTGTATCCAGATGAGGCGGGGAGCCCTGGGGATGGAGAACCCTGGCTTCTGTGGGGGTGGCAAGAGGCAGAGGTGACTCAGAAGGGGGTGGGGTGGGGGTTCTGCTGGTCCCTGGGGAGCACAAGCCGGAACACCATGTGAGGTGATGAGCATCAAAGACCTAACCTGGGAAACCAGGGAGCAGGCTGGACACTCAGAGGGGCAGGGTGAGGGCCCCTGCCTGAGAGTTAGGAAGGAGCTTGCTGCAGGAGCTGAAAAAGGGGCCTGGGTGAGAGTGGAAATGTTTTCTGAGACAGAACACCCCCCTGCCAAGTGCCTCATTCTCGGCCTGTGGCTTCCTCCCTCCCCAGAGCTGTGTGGGTGGGAGGTCGGCAGTGGGTCAGGAGGCCTCGCCTCCCCCCCCCCCAACTCCCCAGAGGGTACATACCCGCTGCAGCTCCACCTCCACGGTCCCCGCACTTTGTCTCCAAAGCCTGTGTCTACACGAGGCCCAGGGTGGGACCAGGCCTTCTGACCCCTGCACCAATGGCCACAGCCCCGGGGGCTCCCCGGAAGGAGCATCTTGTGCTGTTTTCCTGGGTTTAGCTAAACACTGTGTGAAGGTTAAAGGGAGACAGGGAGGGTGAGAGGGAGTGGAGACGGGGGAGGAAGAGGGAACGAGACACTCTCTCCTGGGAGCACACGCATCCATTTAAGGAAGGCGAGCTCATCACACTCCACACCAGGTCTATATACAGTAACGTGAGGTCCCTTCTCCTCCTGGGGCGGAATGTCGCCCTGCGGCAGCCGGTCCAGACCCAGGACGACACCCTCCAACTGTGGGTGAGCAGTGGCGACACCTGCCTGGTGGGGGAGACTGGACAAGGGAGGCAGGCCCACCACAGAGCTACTTGGGCCTGCCCCCGCGTCCCCTTCCTGGGACCCACCTGGTGTGGCCTTGGCTGAGATCTACCCCCAGGCCTGGGGTGCCGTGAGCAGACAGGGAGCCATAGGCAGGAATTAAATAGTGACAACTTGTATTTATTACAATTATATACAGTCAGATCTTATATTCTGATACCTATACCTGATCACACAAAAGAACACGTTTGGGGGCAGGGCGGGGTCAGACAGGAGGGCCCCGGGCCTGGTCCTGGTGGGGCAGGACATCTCCCCAGAGCGGTAGCGGAGCCACCATGTGGCAAGCCAGGTCGGGAGCAGCGCGCTGTCACGTGTGGCGGGTGACCAGGCCGGGGCTGCGACAAGCACACACGGGCGGCATCGCCAGGCAGGGCCTGGCTGGGGGGACCCGGGGGACCCTCGCCCGGGGGGGAGCGCAGGGCCGTGGCTTTTGGAATCACGAGTGTGGCCCCCGTGGCCACTGGTGAGAAGCAGTGAGGGGCCGGGGCAGAGGGAGGGGCCGGCAGACGCCGGGTCCCCAGGCTCCCCCTCTGCGAGGGTCAGGAGTCAGGTAATAAACTACCTCTTGTCATGCACGGTGTTAGGTTGGCTAAGACGCTCAGCTGACGCCCCTGGACCGGACGTCTGTCTGGGAGGGGGCTGAGGGGCTTGAGCCCAGAGAGTTCGGAGCCCTCGACCTGAATGAGATCAAGGTCAGAGGCCTGTCTGTCCGGAGCGGGCTGGGTGGCCAGGCTCTGCCCGCCTGGCCCTGGCCCCGCCCCACCCCGGGGCCCCACCCCCATACCACCTAGTCCCGCTCGCTCTCGTTGCTGGCACCCTCGGGCCGCCGCAGCTTCTCCACCTGCTCGTTGATCTGCCCGTCCCCACCCCGGCGGTCCTCCCTCTGCACCCCCAGGCAGTCCTCCTCGTCCACGCGGCTCACGTCCTCGTCCTCCTCGTCCTCCTCGTCCTCCCTCTTCTCCTCCTCGCCCTGCACCTCCATCCTCACCTGGCCCTTGACGTCCACCACCCCCTCGCCCTCCTCCTGGGGGCCCAGCAAGTGGTATGTGGCTGTGGAGCCCTCGGGGCTGTGGCCCTCCTTCACGGGCGAGGACGACGTGGACTCGTTGCTGACAGGCGAGATGTCGCTGCTGCTGTGGTGGTTCACCGCCGCAGGGCTGGAGGGCGAGGGCGACTTGACGGGGATCTGCCAGGAGGGGATCTTCGGGGCCGACGGGGAGGGCGGGAACTGCCTCCTGGTAGAGGAGGGAGAATACTGCCAGGTTTGCCCTCAGCAGAGCTGCCCCTCCGGAACCCCAACGCTAGTGGATGGTGAACAGGGCCAGGGCCAGCCCACAGGGGATAGGACAGGGCTCCGCCACACACGCCTGCTGCCCTCCCTTCCCTTCCTCTGCAAACAGGCCTCTTGGCCCCTTGGAGGTTAGAGAAGCTGAGATAGAAGCCAGAAGCATCAGGGCTGCCCGGAGAGTACCCTTCCCACTCAGGGTGCCATCCATGGTCCCTCTGCCCGGGGCCAGGCCCACCCTCCCTGGCAGCTGCAGGACAGTTGGCCCTGGGGAGCCTGCCACACCCCAGAGCCCATTCCCTCTGGTCCTCACAGCAGTGTCCAGTCTCCAGCCCTGGGAGGGGCAGCGAGCAAGGGCTGAGGGCAGAATCCTGGAACCCAAGACCCCTGGGCCTCCACTCTAATTTGGTCTGAGCAAAGATGGGTAGAGCAAAACCTGGCCTGGGCCACGGGGTCAGAGACATCAGACCTGGACTTTTCTAGAAAACTTCCAAGCTCAACACTTGACAGAAGAGCCAGCTCTCCCCTCCCACTCCTGTATCCCCGCCCTGAGCCCTGGGCTGGCAGCCAGGGCTTGGAAATCAAGCTTGAAGACAGGTGGGACCAGACCACCCCGGCCTGAGACCAGAGGACAAAGGCCTGCTGCCTCCTGGGCTGTCTGCCAGCTCTGGTTCCAGACAGCCTTTCCCCTCAGACCCCGCCACATGAAGCCCACCACCAGGGCCTCGGTGTTCACCACGTCCCCGAGGGGCAGCCCGCTGGCACGCCAAGCTTGGCCACACCTCTCTTAAGGCCACAGTTTTGTCCCCAGAGAGAGCCTGAACGTGGGTGACTTGGAGAACTGGGTACTCTGGTTGTGACCACAAGACCCTGCCAGCCCCTCATCCTGGACCTGGAGTGAAGTGCCGCCTCATTCAGCCACCCGCTAAGCCCCAGGGCGCTCTGCAGGTGGGGTGGCCAACTGTCCCAGGGTCCCAGGACACAAGACGTTCAGCTTTAGAATCAGGCAGGCCTGGGCAAGCCTGGACAAGTCAGGCACCCTCCTCTTGGGGCTGCTCTGGTGCTGTCCCTGCGGAGTGACACAGTGAGGCCACAGGAGCCAGGGGCGGGGACGGGGCACTGCACAACCTTCTGCCTTGAAATCAATCTCTTCTGCCCTTCAAACTGAGCGGGAACAGAGACCCCTGGCCTGGCCCTCAGCGGGGATCCTTCTCTGGGACCCAGCTGTCACTGAGAGCTCCCAGGACTCAGGACAGAGAGAGTGACCCTGCCCGGAAGGTGGGGATGCGCTCCTCTGCAAGGTCCTGCTCTGGCCCCAGCTGTCCCTGACCAGGTATGGACAGGGCCAAGAACTGTATCTCAAAACTCTTGTGGGCCCTTCAGATGGTCACTCCTAAAGCGGGGAGGGAGGGACTTGCCGAGGAGGGTAGGTAGAATCGCCGGAGATTCCCAAACTCCATGCCTGAATGACGCAGCTCAATCCGGGGTAGGAAACACGGGGTGCCCCTGCCCCAGAAGATGCCCCACCACCACCCACAACGGCAACAGCTGGATGGGCCCCAAGAGCCCCCTTCCCCAGTCCCAGGCAGAGAGAGGAACAGAAGCCCACGCCTTTGCAGCTCCTACCGATTCAAAAGAAGCCCCTTCAAGGAGTTAATTTCCGACTTGAGTTCATTGATGTTCTGGGACTCCAGGATCCAGTTGGTGGACGTGGTGGCCTGAAAGTCACAACAAAGGGGATTGAGGATCAGTGTGGCACGTCCCCCCACCCCTCCAAACTCAGACGCTGGGACGGCAGGAGGACCCAACCCCCTCGGGAAGGTTTGCTGTGGCCCGTTCTGGGGTCTGCTTGCCTGGATCTCTGCTGAAATGACAACTCCCTTAAAACAAACATCCTCCCAACTCTATTTGGATAGCTGACGCTCTTAGGGAAACATGACATGTATTCAGGTGTAACTGGCATCCTGGTTATGAAAAAATAAAACAAGAGAGCCCTCATCTTTTACAGATACAAACTGAAGTGTCTGCATTATGAAATGATACGCTGTCTGGAATGTGCTTCAGAATAACCTCGGGCAGGACAGGCCCGAGGCCTCAGCTGCACTGTGTGGCCAGGGCATGGGGGTTCACTGAGTGGCCCGCTGCTCCATACGTGTCTGAAACGTTCCATTAAAACCAAACTAAGAAGATAAATTCCATCTCTACACAACTACTCCTTCCACCTGAGACCTTCTCCCTGCAGAGATCACACCCCCACACACACACCCACGGGAGCCCTGGGGATAAGACAGGCAGCCACCTCCAACCACAGGGCCTGGAACCTGGAGCCGCTGTGGAGGATCAAGGGGACACCTGAGCACCTGCCTGGCCCATCCCCTGGCCCCCACTCTTAATGAACCCTGAAGGCAGGCTTCACCTGGGTGCCCTTCCCCACACTGCTGTGACATCAGGCCCCACTGCCTGCAAAGTCAGGAGCCCCGGCCAGGCAGCCCATTGACATGTGCTCTTCTGGATGATCCTGAGGCTCAGCAGAGAGAAAGATAATGATCTGGAGGAGGGCCCACGGGGGAAATAGCCACAATGACCCTGGACAAATGCCAGCCTCCCCCGCACACCTTCTCCTTTGAATTTTGACACCACTTTCCATGTTAACTTCAGAGAACCACACCTTTTTTCAGCAAATCTTGTTGGGATAAACGGAAGAGAGGAAAGCCAAAACAGTGATCCCCCAAAAGGGAGCTGCCTGTGGCCCAGCTGCCTGTGAGGTACTTACGAGCCAATTCCAGGTATGTGGGATTTGGTCCTCCAGGCTAGAGGCCACTTCCAGGTGCAAGGCTCCTGACCCTTGACACCACTGTTTCCACCTGACACAAAACCCCCGGGTCACAAGTTCAGGAGAAAGCAGGGAACTCCAGGCTGGCAGAACGGAGGGCCCCACACATTCCCGCCAGCCTGTGGGGACTCAGAGGTACAGCGGGGGCTGCTTTGGGCACCACCCAGGCAAGCGGCCTAATGGTGGTTTAGTCGCCAAGTCATGTTCAACTCTTGCGACCCCATGGACTGTAGCCTGCCAGGCTCCTCTGTCCATGGGATTCTCCAGGAAAGAATACTGGAGTGGGTTGCCATTTCCTTTTCCAGGGGATCTTCCCAATCCAGGGATCGAACCCGGGTCTCATGCATTGCATGTGGATTCTTTACCAACGGGGCCACCAGGGAAGCCCCAGCAAGCAGTCTGGCCGGGCACAACCTGGCAGGAAAAAGCCCCTGCGAGGGGGCAGCCTGGAGCGAGCATGCACAGACGCCTGCTGCCCTCACACACATCCCCTCAGGGTCCATGCTCCAGACCACCAGACAGCACAGATCCAGCAGCCACTGTGCTGGCTTCTCAGAGGCCCTGAAAACTATCGCAGCCCATTAACAAGGGAGCAATTTCCACTCACCGGCCGACAAAGGACTCAAATTTCCAAACGCATCTGGTGCCAGATGCCAGGATTTAGAAATAAAATCTGACATCTGGGGCTTTTTAGCCACTCTCTTTAAAAAAAAACAGTTGTAGAAAACTCCCAGCCTTCAGTTTTATGTAGGTTTTTTAATTACTTAACGCTCTTCTTTTTAATTTTTTACAGTGCTGCAGTAGGAGTTTGGAAGCCAGATATAAAAACTTACATTACAGCTGAGAAAACACAGCTCTAAGTCTCTGGTTTATGGGGTAACTGAAGTCACACACAGTGAGCCCAGCTTCAGTGGAGAGAATGAAAGGGGCTAGGGGTGGGGGGACATCAAGGAAACAAGCCCAAGAAACTCCCAGGGGCAGCTCTCAACCACCAACACCATCCTGGGCCCCCCTCCCCTCTAAAAAGCAACATGTGGTCTTAATCTCAATGCTTAGGGTCTGAAAACAGTTTTCCAATTTCCGGAATGGCTTCTGGCCACTGGCAGGCCGCCGCTCCCAAAGATAATGGAGCAGAGCGGGGCACGGGCTGTCAGCCCCTCCCTGGCTGCTTTATGGACTGCCGCCCACGGGGAGGGAGCGAGGTGGCTGGCAGTGGCCGCTGGTAACCATCCCCATGTGCAGAGGCCGCGCCTCCGTGGGTGGGGCACCCCACAAGGGGGTTCCCAGGCACCTTATTCTCAGGATCACAGGGACCTCGAGCGGTATGCTCAGGTGGGGCTCTCCTGCAGGAAGCCACCTCTCTCTCCTTGGGGGTCAGAGTTGCATGGAAGCAGCCAGAAAGCTACACAGGAGGTGGGGATGGAGTGGGGAGGGCAGCGGACGCTGTGGAACACTCTCCTGAGCCAGGCTGTGTCAGGAACACCGTGTCACACATGCACAGAGCCCAGACCAAGAAGCTGCGATCCTGGGAGCTGACAGGAGCCAGGCACTGTTCCCAGCAGGTGCACACAGTGAGGGAGCTAGGGTTACAGCTCCATTTTACAGACACGGAAAGTGAGAATCAGAGATGGCAAGTGACTTGTCTGTGGTCACACAGCAAGCATGTGCCACAGAGCTTTAACCTGGGCAGTCTGATCCCAGGATCTGATATTGCCATGGGGGCTCCAGATGTGGGAAGTGAGGCAATGAACCCGCCTCGGTCATCCTTGGTGGGTCTTCATCTTTCAGGGGTTACCGGAGCCCAAGACCAGGGTTTAGAGAACTCGCCAACAGCCACATTTTAGCCCAGGGCCTGGGCACCCTTCTCCCACCCTGTTCCCCAGAACTATTCTTGGCAACGCTGGGGCCTGTGACCTAACTTGTAGGTGGAGACCATCCCGTGTCTATGCCAGCTACCACCAGAGCTGTAGTATGTGCTGCCATGGTCAGGGGGATGGGCCTCGGAGACAGAAAGGACAGCCCTTGTCACTGAATGCCACATCGCCCGCCTGGTGACCGCCTCCTTTCTCCACAAGGGCAGTGTAACCGGCATCAGAAGAGGGCATCAGACGTGCAATGAACTGGGCACAAGGATAAGCAAGAGCCTGGAGGGGCCAGAGGGTCAGGGACAAGTACCTTGGCTGTGGCCAGTTCATGGGCCAACTCCTGGACTTTTTGCTGCTGCTGAATCAGCAGCTCCTGGACTGAGGCGAGGGTCATCTGTAACTGAGTCACTGGGAGGAGAGAGCAGGCGCATCTCTGTTAATGATACATGAAGATTCCCCCTTCTGTCCACACACCTATGAGCCGCTGCCTCTAATTTATCTGCAGACATCCCCCCGCCCTCCAGCAATCCATATAATTCATCTACACTCTGGGTAATCTACCTGCACTGTATCTAACCTCTAGTATTTCTACTTTATCTTTCTATTGTGCAGTTGTCCATGGTCAACAGTATATCCGTCCAAAACCTCTCCCCTCTAATTATATCTGCTTATGATTTGCTTGGCTCTTCCAACCTCGGGACTGCCTGCTTCCCTCATCTCCTGGGCCTCACTGTGTCCTTGTAAAACTCAAGGCAGAGTCTTCGATCCTGGGAGACACACAGCTCAGGTCCACAGCATCCAGGAGTGGTTAAAAACTGCCAATCTCGTTTCCATATGGCTCCCTCCTGCCCTCCCCACACAACCCCGAGGCTGCTGGAGCACCCTGTCCACTGTCAGCCTCGAGGAGACTCACCAGCAGGGTCTGGGCCCTGGAGGGTTTCCGGGGGCTACACAGACATGCCCCTGAGGGGCAGACTCCGGTCTGGGACAGGCGGCTCTCTCTGTGCCCAAGTTTTTAGATTCTGAGCCTCCATCTAGTAAACAAGCTTATATAGGAGGAAAAACCACCCCTGGAGCGACAGGTCCCAGCTAATCTGGGCCACCAATGGGGCACCGGGTAATGAACGCGGGCCCCGTGGAGTCGATGACAGAGGAGGTGGCCGGGGTCCCCGGAGCCGCAGTAATTACAGCCTCTCTTGACCCTGCATGGGATTCTTAGAGAGAAGGGGGAAAATTGCTGAAAACCCCCCTGAAAACCTCATGGAAGCAGAAATTAAAAATGAACTTTACAGCCCTTAGAAAGGCTGTCATTTTATTCCCCTTATTAATATTCTGAGGTTGGGAGCCTTTCCGTAAAAACATAATTAATTGAGGCCGCGCCGACAGTAAACAAGCAATTTCAAATTAAACCGAAATGACGGCGGCTTCATTTGCAAATGTGAACAGATTCTCAGAGCAGATAAATGAAGTCACCACATAAAGTGGAGACGGAGGGGAGAGGGGAGGGGGCAGAGAAGGGGCTGCTCGGAGAAGGCTTTGAGGGGTGACTTGATGGAGTCATTAATCTTTACCTGTCTGGGCCACGCTGCCACTCAGCTCCGACAGACTCGCCTCCATCCGCTCCAGCTGCTTCCGGTCCTCCCGGCCACCCGTGATGAGGGGGAGCAGGTACTTCTGCAGGGAATGGGGGATGCGTGAGGGATGGGTATGTACCTGGGGTGACTCCCCAACCAGCTCTCCAATTCCACCTGGCAACTTCCTCTCCATCACCCCTGGGCCTTGGAAACCCTAGGCCGACGCCGTAAGTGAACAAGACATCCGAAAGTTAGGAGGCTGCGAGTAGAACCATGTGAAAACTCCTGAGTCGGGACCAAAAGGAGGGAATGGGGACACAAAAAAATCAACCTGACCGACTGCGATGGAGTACTTTCGGGTTCTTTCAGTTTTTTAAATGGTGCTATATAGAGAGAGTTTCTGTGACCAAGAATACTCAGAATTCTACTTTAGAAGTTGTATGATAAAACTGTAGAAGGTTATACAGGAAAGTGGTACCACTGGTGGCTTCCAGGGAAGAGCGGGAAGGAAGTTCGCGGTACATTTTTCTGAACCTTTCACATCCTGTACCAAGGGAATGAATTATCCATTCAGAAAGAAGCAAGTAAAATTTAGAAATTATTGAAGAAACAAAATCAAAACCCACAGTAGATCTGCAGGGCCTCTGGCTCTTTCACTAGGAGCGGGTAATGTGTGGGTATTCCAAGGCCGTCTAAGGTGGTCACACCCAGTCTTTCCTAAAAGTCTTGTATGCTGTGAACAGGCTTCCTTCAGGTAAGACTTAAATGCAGCCAGATTCTCCCAGAATGGAGACACTGGGCAGAGGGGGAGGAAGGGGCAGAAGTGGGAGAAACTGACCATGAGGGGAAAAGGAAGTGGGTGCTGCGGAGCAAACCAAACAAGGGGCCCAGGACGTGGGGGTCCCAGACGAGGCAAGGATGAGAGTCCTGGAACATTCAGGAAGAAGGCAGGTGGGGTGCAGCCGCTGACTGGCGGCCAGCTCAGAGATGTGCAGGGTGGAGGTGGACAGCAAGCTGCCCACTGGGATTGCTGGATGAAAGAATCCAGGCTCCAAACTCCACAATCTCAGGACTCGGCGCCCACCCATCTCAGGGGCCTGAAACCAGTCGCCAGGCTTACTGGGACAGTACCAGGGGTGCCCAGTGTGGGCCTGGCAGAGGTGGTAACTGGCAAGTATGACCAAAGGAGACTTTGGTTCTCATTCCATTTGAGGCGCAGACGGAAAAGACAGCAACTACTCCATTAAGGCTTCTGTACTGGCGGAGGGAAATGGGGTCTCTCACAGGGGTTTGTGGGAGAGCTCATTTCAAGAGCAACTCCTGAGTGAAGACCACTATTTAGGACATGTAGGGAAGCACTTCCTATTTCACAAAGTGTTTTCCAACCACTGTGTGAGTTTATTACCCACAACTTAGACGAAACTCATCAAACGTAGCTTTACGTTCCAGGTTGGAAATTTCCTAAGTATGAAAGTCAAGAAATTCTATACATGCAATGGACTAAAAACTCCATTTCTAAGATCAAAAATTCCAAGGAAAGGAACACATTCCCAGCATGAATCTTCAGGTATTTATAAAATGAGAGCTTACCTCTCTTTTTCTTTTTAATTTAGCAGGCATTTTTAAAATTCTCTTGTCATCATCGTGACTGATCTTTTCTGTCTCTTCTTTCTTAAAGCAGAAACTAAAGATCAGAGCTTGGTGGAAACAACTGATGCTATCTCTGCTCAGCTCCAAGGAGAGCTATGCCTTCTCTTTCCACCAGATCACAGGGTGCCTGAGGGCAGCCACGTGACTAAGTGGGTCCTGCTCAGCAGAGCCTGGACAGGAACGGAGAGTTCTGTCTCAGCCTTTTCTCCTTCCTAGTGACTGTATGCACTTAGGGACTGGAGACGACAGGCTCTGAGCACACAGGGAGAGCAGACGCACGGTGTCAGAGGGAGCAGTCCTGGGACCCACCACATCCGGCTTCCCAATTTCTAAGGTGGAAACTTCCAACTTCAAGAATAAATGTTACACTGAAAAGATCAACTTCACTTCAGTCAAAAATTAAGAGTCCCAGGAAGCAATGTGAAAACATGTTCCATGTGCCAAAAGTTACAACGTAAGGGAATCCCCTTGGCGTCCACTGGTTAGGACTCCAAGCTTCCATACAGGGGGCACAGGTGTGATCCCTGGTTGGGAAACTAAGACCTCACAAGATGCACAGAACAGCCAAACAAAGTTATGGCACGAGTCTGGATATTCATTTAGAGTCTTTTTTTTTTTCTTCAGACTTTTTATTTTATATTGGGAGTATAGCCAATAGTTCAGATTCTTTTCTTTTTAAATTTCCAAACGAGGGATGGAGTTGCAAGTGGGCTCAGAAAGAAAGGAACTTCTCTCTGCAGCACTGGCAGAGGTTAAGTTCTTCAGCCACCAGTTTACCTTCTGTCTCTATTTTACCTACCCTGGCTCTGCATCTTCTAAACAACACTCGCATGCTTCAAATCAAAGTCAGTACGTGGTCACGAGTGTCTGATCAGGATCCAGTGTCAAGGAAGTAAATGATACTTCACGCCCGCGGCTCTGCTGGAAGCAGTGAACTCGGGGGCCCTGAGGGCTGACTACGAAGACTGTGAAAAACCCTAGATTTACATGGAAGCCAACAAAATATACAGGAGGAAAAAGTAGTAAACATGATCACACTGAGTTTCTCAAAGCTGGTGTTAAATACTCAGGTGAAACAAGAGGTTACAGAGCGCCTGCAACATGCTGGGAACACAGTCCTTTCCACAGGAGCCCCACTGCTGTGAGCATCACCACAGCCTCTCGAGGTAGATCCTACTGTCCCGTTTTACAGGTGAGCCCGCTGAGCCTGCAGTCACACAGCTGCCGAGTGGCAGGGCCAGGATGTGACACTGGCAGCCAGGCTCCAGCCTCTGTGGTCTTAACTGCACATTGTTCTGTCTCTTAAGAGGGTCCAGCCTGCTCAGAGCATGCTGGGCAACATCCTCAGTACTTGACATGGCTCTCTGTCATGGGCCCCGTCACCCTGTGCAGCAGGCAGGGACTTGGGAGGAGAGATTCTGTAGGTGAAGCAGGTCTGAAGACCCTGAGCACACCCACCTGGGTGGGGGCAGGACCAGGATTTGACCCGGACGCCCCTCCAAAGAGCACGTTCATCTGGGCACTCAGCCTCTACGTGCAGGCCCACTGCTGTCCCCACCCTCAGGGCAGTGCCAAGGGGGTGCGGGGAGGGCGGCTTACCTTGTAGAGCTGGTGAAAGCCAAATGCAATCCCTGCCATGATGATGGCCAAGGCGCTGTAGTCTCTCCACCGGGAGCCCGCAGGGCCTGGGGTCGGGAGAAAAGCTGGGGTCAGGAGGAAAGGCCCTGGCATCCCCCGGGGGCAGGAAGTGTGTGGACTCAGGCTCCTCGTCTCAGTCGGGGTGTGTCTCATGCTCAGATCGGGGGTGAGCGTCAGAATGGGGCTCGGCTGTCTCCCTCCTCCTCCTGGGCCTCCAGACTGTGCTGTGCCTGCCGTGGGGTGCTGTCTCAAGGGACTGAGGCGAGGGTAGGGGGAGAACAGCAGAGGCAATCTAAAGACCTGGGCAGAGGCTCTGCGCTCGAGGAATAAAGGATCCAGTGAGGGTGCCGCAGCACCTGGCTTGTGCACGCACACACGTCCACACACTTCCTATATGAGCTGGGAGCCACCTGAGAGTCGGGGCCAGAGGCTGTGTCACTGCCTGTTCGGCTTTATAAAGCTCCAACGGTGTACACGGTGGTGCTGAGGGCACAGGGGGCGGTTGTGGCCAGACTGCTGTCTCGCTCTGTTCTGCTCTCATTCAAGTGCGCCTGGGGAGAGGGGCAGCCCACACACGACTCAGTGAGGTGATGCCAGAGAGGGACCAAGCACTCAGACAGGACACGGTGAGAGAGGGATGGCGGGGCCTCGGTGGAGGACAATGCCGAGACCTATGGGGTCTCGGGGCACAGTGCTCCAGGCAGGGGACTAGGAAATGCAAGGGCTGGGGTTGACCTGTGCTTAAGCAGATGGGGGAGCCGCTGGGCCTTCCCAAGGAGGGGGCATTGCCGGCCAAGAGACAGAGAGACCAGAGAGGGGATGGGGGTCGTGGTGAGGGGAAACGTGGGAAAGGCCGGGCCTGGAAGAGAATGCACGCAGGGAACCTGGCCGTCACTTCACAAGCAGCGGGGTCGCTGACGGCTCTGAATCAGGGAGTAACGCGGTTGGCTCTGTGCTTTGGAAGAACGACATGGAGAGTACCGTGGACAGCTACGGGGTGTGAGGGTTGTGGAGGCGAGAAAGCAGGAAGAGACTACCACCAGGGCCACCAAAGGCGAGCGGGACAGGCCCAGGATGGAAGGTCTTGGGGATCTGGACATGGGCAGCTGGTCTACACAGGAATGGGCCCTTCAGCACAAAGCCCCTCCAACCCCTGAGTGAAATCCTAGCTCCAAAGTGGGGAGGAGAGTTTTCTACTCCACAACCTCCCCATGAACTGCTCACGATGTGTTTTCAGGCCCATAATCTGATCTGACACCTGGCGACTCTGGGAGGTGCACAGGAAAGCATGAGCTCCATCTGGAATGTCCAATGGAGCGGCCACATCCAGGCTGCCCAGCGGCCGTCTCTCAAGGGACCAGTCACAGAGGTATTGGGGGGGGGGGGGGCAAGGGCCACTTTCTCCAGAACCATCAGTGGTGCAGGAAACCCTCAGTCTGTGGACTCAACCTCGGCACCAGGGAACGTGACTCAAGGTGTGTACCCAAGGCGTGTGCACATGACAAGGACCTGGGACTGGGAGGGGAGCCTGGGAGAGGCGGGGGAGGACGAGCCACCACACTTGCGGGAACTCACATGTGGCCGGGCCCGGCTGAAGGCCTTGTCTCCCCACAGACGGACACCTGTGGCTGCAGCCATCCCCTCCCTTCCCTGGGCCTGCAGGTACTGGCCACGTCCTGGTGCTTCACAACTGAAGGAGAGCAGGAGGCAGTGGTTCTGAAAGTCCCTGCTGGATGTGGGCACGTGGGGAGGAGGGGCTGCTGGCACCCAGTCTGACTGGGGATCCAAGAGGCAAAGACCTCCATGGGAATGAGGGAGACGCTCCCCGCTCCCTGAGCTGCTGAGAGGGGCTCTCAGGAGATGGAGACAGAGACGATAGTGATGGAGGAGGCTGGAAGAGTCTCTTCTTGCCCTATCCCCACCCCCCACCCGCCTGTGGATTCCACTTGAGTTTCTCAATGTGGCCCAACCCCAAAGTCTCCTGCACAGACTGCAATCAACTCCCTTCTCTGGTTTACAGTTTCTGAATAGGTAACACATGCACATGGTCTGGGCTTCCCAGGTGGCTCAGTGGTAAAGAAACCACCTGCCAATGACAGAGAAGCAAGAGACTCGGGTTTGATCCCTGGCTTGGGAAGAACCCCTTTTGGAGGAAATGGCGACTCATTCCAGTATTCTTGCTGGAGAATCCCATGGACAGAGGAGCCTGGTGAGCTATAGTCCATGGGGTCACAAAGAATCGGATACGACTAAGCACTCACACACATACACACGCACGTGGTCTAAACATCACACAGCACACGTCAGTCTACTGCAAAGAGGCTTCCTCCACCACCACAAACCTCTGTGTTCATAGTGTCATCTTTATCCAGTCAAGAATTCTTATGCAAACATGAGGCAACACGTACAGGCATTATTTTCCTTCCCCTTTCCCCATCTCTCATTCTTCTTTTTGGCTAAAGCTGCATAATATTCCATTAAACAAACTCCCTGCAGATGGACATTTAGATGATTTCTAGTCTCTTCCTGTTTCACACAAAGCTGCCATCAGTAAGCGTGTACACACAGCCTCTCACGTCCATGTAAAAGGCCATCTGTAAATGTGAACTCCTGGCAGGCTGGGTCAGAGGTACATGTACCAGCAGTTGTGAGACAGCTTGCCAAACTGTGCTCCCTGGGGTTTGAACCAGTTCATTCACAGCCACCCCAATGTAATGGGTTAATCACACACATAGATTTCTGCTAATACTAGAGCCAAAAAAAAAAAAAACCCACTACTTCGCTCTAGCTTTAATTTGCATTTATCTTACTACAGTGAGGAGTAAGCATCTTTTCATCTGCATCTCCATTTTGGTAACTGTATGCTCCGTACTTTTCTACTCCATTTCTTTATTAATTTCCTTCATCAATTCATGGAACTTTCTTATACAACAAGGAAATGAGCTCTTTGTCTATGACAGAAGTTGTCAAAATTTTTCCTAGTATATTTTTCTTTTGACTCTGCTTCTGGTCTGCCTTTGTGACATGCACTGTTTTCCTGTTTACATAAACTTATCCATCTACTCTTTTATGGACTCAGGGGTTTGGGTCATGGTGAGCCAGGGCTCTCCCCTCCCCTCCAGGGTTGAGCAGTGACACTCAGGATCATGTCTACATACACAATGGCTCCAGAAGGGCGCCCTCCTGCTCTGACCTGCACAAAACACCCTCCTCTGATGTGGAGCGACTCAGATAAGCCACAACTGCTCGTGAAATGGAAAACTCTTCAGATCATCATGGCAGACCTTTCACCATGACCTTGAGAGAAGCTCTGAGTTCCATGCAGGCACCTGTCTCATCCCACCTGCTCTGTTCTGGGTGTCTTGGTTCCAAAATCCAGTGCAAGCTCGTTTTTAGGAGGAGACAGTGAAGACAGAGTAACATGCCACTTTTCAAAAAGAGTCACTGTTCCGTGGGGCTTCAATCCACCCCCAGAACAGCCCCTCAGTGCTGCCCAAACCCCAGAGAATGTATTCCGTATTCCAAGTGGACACATGTCTATCCCCAGAACGTTGTATCCCCAGTGATTTCTTAAATGCCCACTAAACATCTTACAAGAACACAGCTGCAACTGGGCTGAGCACTGGACCAGAACCCCAAGTTCGCAGCATCCTTCTTCTTTCCTGCAAACATTCAGGGGATGCTTCTCATTCCGGGTACTAGAGCCTAGGCTGAGCAGACGCTGGCGGGTCAGGGGTCTGAGAATGAGGACCCCTCCTACAGCTGCTCCCCCTTCCGCAAAGTGCAACCTCCTGGAGCACAGGAGACACCTGTGGCTCCCTGCCGGCCGCACCTTCACCCCCGCGCTGCTCCTTGTTTCTGCCGTGCTCGCGTTAAGAACATTTTATTGCCCCCTGGTTTTCATTATTAATGAAAAGGGACCAGAATGATCTTTCCTAAAGTTCAGAGAGTCTATAAAGACAAGAAGCTGAAATGCCATTTTACTCGTTTTGGAGATGTGTGATACAATCCTGTCTTGTGGCAAAATGAAAAAAGAGGAAAACTAAGGAGGATATAACTCTTCTTCCGCTGCGCATCTTTCAAAGGGTACAGACCAGGGTAGGGAGAAGACACACAGCGTGACGCTGCACTGGCTCGCACCCCTGCCACGGCTACCTGGAGCCCTCGCGCTGCCCACGCTGGGGCCAATCGTTCCCAAGCCCGGTGTGAACCCCCAGCAAGGGAGCCCAGGGCACCCAGGAGCTACATACAGCTTCTTGTCACTATGTTCCTGAATGTCCAGAAAATACAGTCAAGGGCAGAACACAGGGCCAGTTGCTCGTCTGCTCCAGCTCAGAAGTAAGAGAGTGGAATGAACGAGCTCTTCCAACAGCTTCAGCTGTTGACCCAGGCTGACCCGATGCCAACCTACACACAAGGCAGACCCCAGCCAGGCAGGCAAGGAGCTTCCACACCACCCACCAGATGAGTCTCCCGAAGGACAGCTTTCTCTTCTTTCCAAGTGCAGGCCATTTGACTGAAGGTGGAGAGCTTTGCCACATTTAAAGAACCCAGGGACAATGGTATTTTTACTATCATTCAGATTCCAATCGTCTCCAGCTTGGCAAGACCTGCCAGCTTGCCCAAGAGGCCCAAGGCTTTACCATCACCTCACAGGTTGGCCTCTGCCGGGGATGGAGACAGTCAATGGTGGAGCATTTTTCATCCTGCACAACTGAGCATTTCTGGGACCACCTTCATGTCTGAGGCTGCAACAAGGTCAGAGGTTGAGCTCTTTGAAACTCAATGCCTTCCTACCCTCCCAAGGACTCCATCAACTGGCCTGAACTCAGTGTCCCCAGGGCCTGCCTGCCCAGAGGCTTGGGTTGTAGGTGAATCCATAGCGTATGGCAGCTGGGTCAGGGGCAGGAGGGTTGCACCCCAAGGGCTCCCTAACCCTTCACTGAATACCACCTAAGCCAACGTTACTCAGCTCCTTTAGCTATATCTCAATCTACCAAGAGATTGTCACCTGCAGGCGAGAACAGACATCATCAAATAAGAACAC